CTTGGAAAGATGGAGGGTGGCTGGGAGGTGTGCCTTTCTTTTGGCAAGAGGGAGAAGGGGGAACAGGCCGAGGCTACAGAAGAACCAGAAGACTCTTCGGGTGGGTGGGCCAGTTTTGAGAGTCTATAACAGAACTTTAAGGAAATTTACTGCCTTAACTATTTGTACCGAACTACATATATTTGATAATGAAGGTAAATTAATGTTAAATGTATTAGGTATGGAAATGGCATTGTGGTTGTATAGGAAAATGTCCTTACTTTTGGGTGATGTGGAGTGAGTACTTGGGGGGTGGGGGGCTTAGTTAGGTATGTCTGTATAAGAAAACGCACCTGTGAACATACTTGTATCAGGGGAATGTAGGCAAAGGGTATCCAGACATTCACTGTACTGTTCTTTCACCTTTTTTGAGGGTTTGAAAATTTGCAAAATAAGCAAGAGGTAGATTACTAAGGCTGTATAAGCCTGTAAAACCCCTCCCTTTTAAACCTCAGTTGGAAGACTGATGCTCTAAAAGCTTCTAACATAAGATATGAAACAAAGACTTTTTAAAATTCTTATTAACAGTTTATTCATGGAGGACACACCGCCAAGATATCAGATTTTAGTTGGAACCCCAATGAGCCTTGGGTCATCTGCTCGGTGTCTGAGGATAACATCATGCAGATATGGCAAATGGTGAGCTAAAGTATTTATTTTTCCTGAGTGAAAAGAAGAAACAAACTATTTGAAATGTTTGTTATAGATTGTTGCTTTTCTAAATTTGGTGTACCTGTATAATCTTAAAAGACATTTCTCCATTTTAACAAGTCTTTAGTTCAGTATGCACCTGTCAGGTCAGGAGAAATCTGTGTCTACACACAGATGGGGACACAGCCTCTGTTCTGCTTTGCGTGACTGTCGTCCGCTTCATCGGCTGGGCTCTTGGCGTCACTGTTGTAGGTCCAGTGTCTGCTGCGTCACGGGCATGAAGCAAAGTGCCACGAGTTCTCGGATGCTGAGTACTAAGAACCTGATATTTCTGAGGTGGTGTTAACCCTCTTGTTAACTGCGGGGCCATTGCTTCATCTCAGGGATGCTTGAAATGCTTTTGGAAAACACTTTTTACAATAGAAAGTAGCAGTGCACGGGCAGCTTGGTGTGTAGGTGGGCTCCCCTGCCAAGTAAGAACACTGGCCCTGGGTTTTCCTCATTCAAGACTGGGGGGGAAACTACAAAGTAAATTACTCTAAAAATGTCCGACACAGAAACACGCTGACCAGTGAATCCTAAAATCTTAGATGGACTTAAATGCTGTTTTTAGGAAATTTTGTAAAAACCATGGGGAGCTTTACCTGTGCCTTTATTTGGTTGTCCTCTCCAGGCTGAAAATATTTACAATGATGAAGAGTCAGATGTCACAACATCGGAACTGGAGGGGCAAGGATCTTAAAACCCAAAGTACAAGAAATGTTTCTATTGAATGTATGTAATGCTACACAAATGCTTGGTTTATCAAGCGCCAAAAAGGCATTGTATAGTAGGAAATGTAAGTGGGATGGCATAGGGCGTTCTTTACCTTCTGATTCTAGCACTTTCAAGTGAGCTATTGCGTACTGTATCATATTGTAGCTTTTAGGGAAGAAAGGAATGTTGAGAGAGAACATCTCGGTTGTTTTAAAATACAAGTAGCAGGGTACTGCCTTTGATTCAACTATTTTAAGTCCTTGTTTTCTCAAACTAAGTGCTTGCTGTTCCCAAATATGCAAGAATAACTTTTACACTTTTTCCCTCCAACACTTGTTGATTGGCTTTGCAGAAATAAAGTTTTAAAATAAATTCGGTTTTATTCTTTTAGAACCCGGGTAGGAGAGTATGAATGTGTTGTCCATGTGTGTCCCTTCTTGTGAGAAAGCTGGTACGTGTGTATGTGGAACTGACTTTCCAGGGTACATGAGAGTGTCCTAATCCAAAGATGGGGCGGGAGAAGTTGGGCTTGAAAACCTGGAACTACCATATCTTACACATCCCCCCCCCCCCCCCCGCCCGCCCAGGAAAGCTTGTTTGCTTATACAGCAGGGGTCAGCCAAAGGGATAAACCAGGTTGGCCCCTCAACCTATTTTGTAGGAGCTGCCAGCTAGGAATAGTTTTTAATTTCAGCAGATCAAAAATTAATTAACAAAGACCGTGTAGCCCATTACGTCTAAAATAAAGTTGGCTGGTCCCTCTCATATTTGTATGTGCTTAAATACTTTTTGCTCATCATCTTCAAATTAGATCATTCCCTATTTGCCTTTATAATATACCTAATTCTCTTGCTATTCAAATAGGTGCACCCTGGGATGTGCTAGGAAAAGCCAAGACTTGTGGAAATGCATAGTCGTTTTTTTTTTTTTCTTAAGGTTTGACAGCAGCTGAACTGTAAGATTTTTAAGTCTTTTTTTTCTAAAGGAAAAAAAAAAAGTAGGCACAGAGGTCTGGCTACATAAAATGAGTCTTCTGCCACCCAGTCCCAGGGGTGAGCTGCTGCTCCATCCTTTCTAAGGCCTGAGAGACAGACCAACCATCTACAGCGGTCCTTGCAGTTGCTATACAGGTAAGGTCACATGTGCGACAAAATACACAGAAACTGTTAAATTTATCATACATATTTACTTAATCTATACAGAATTGAGTAGATAAAATCAGATTCACATTAGTGAAAAATCTCTACAAAATGTCTTTGAAAAGCAAAACAAGACTGCCTCTGAACAATTCGTATCCTCATGAAAGACGTGGGCTGTAAAAATAAAGCCGTGTGTTTAGCACAAACTAGAAGATCTCTGCATCATTTGTTTTTCACAGTTATTTCCATCTACAGTCTGAAAGAGGTAGATTTTTCTGCAACACCTGAGAATTGAATTGTGATAACCAGGTGTAATAAAGGCAGTTGCATACATAACTAAAAAACACTGGTCTCAAGACCAAGAAATGTACTCCTAACAAGTCTGAGGATGAAATGGTCCATGATCCAAGACCCAAGTATTCTCTACTCCTCGGAGTCTACCGCCACTATAAATAATACACAGCAAGATTCCATGATGGTGCAACAAATGCAATTGAAGTAAATGTGACATTTAAACCTTTTCTGGACCAGCCTAACAGCATTAACAGTGTTCTAGAATACGGTGGATACAGGGTGTGCTACAAAGCCACAACACTGGGCTGGTGAGGTGATTGCTTTAGGAGGGTGTCTACAGAGGGGCCTGCTTGTTTTTATTCACAGGGTAATGGGAGGAAAGGACCCCTCATGCATCCCAAACAGAATCGAGCTCCTTTAAATACCACGATCGCATCTAGCTACAAATACATAGTAAAAGCCGAAAGCAGCAGGCCAAGGACTGTTAATCACATTGCTTTAGAAAGCCCTTGAAAATAGGCAACGCGTCCAAGATTTACATCTTCCACACAGGACAAGCACCACAAAGAAACGTGGGCTACACGAATGGCTTCAACAGTAAGAGCTGTACATCCAGCAGAGTTCTTGTGAAATATCATTAGTACTAATTTTTAAAGATATTTCTGATATATACCTTCATTTCCTCCAGGGGAAATGAGTCCAACATTTCATCTAGTAGCAGAAAGGAGTATTTATACGAGGCCATTGGAGAAGGGGATTATTTGTTTTTGCTTCCGACTCATTTTTGACAGCGTAATGAGAGAACCTGCTCTGTGGTTTTCTTTTCCTCCACTGTCTGGCCCCTTGATTCCTGTGACCAGTGGCGGAAGCTTCTATGAGACAACTTTCCAATTCTTTCAACCCACTTTAGACCATGAATATGACAGGACTTTACAAAGACAGTTTTAAAGAGAAAACGCTTTTAACTGGACAGAACGGGCTTGATTCAGTCCAGTGAGCAGTTTCAGTGTCAGTTTGATAGCTTTGCTCCGTGGAATGTGCTAATATCAATTCTAGTAGAGCCTCTTTATATTTCATAAATTATTTTCAATGCAAATTTTATCAGGGACAAAGTCCAAACTTCCGTGGTGCAACCTGACTTATTTGCGTAACTCAGCCATATTCAACATTGTTAAGAACAAAGGAAAATTAAAGAATTCAGAAGTGATGTGCTTTGTACGGAAAGTTCCCCCAGTGCAAGTATAGAGACCTTGGTAATACTATTGGCTTTTTTCTTAAAAGACAGTAATTAAGAAAAGGGGTGAGAATCAGACCAAAAGCATCATAGATCCTGACTACTTAAAACTCTGTGCCAAATCTTCCCACAGTTAAAAGTGTGGGTTTCAGTCTGTTTTGGAAATAAAACCCATTTCAGTTAGCATGATCCACAATTAAAATTCCCGTTTTAAAAACCTAGAGAACTTTGCTGGCGGGATTCACAAAACAGTCGAACATGAAATTTCAAGTAGCCAGCAGGCAGCATGGCAGCAGAGGGACGACTTAAGAGTTAAGTTCATGTGTAGCTTTCATTGTCTTAAAATGACAACTACCGATGACCGCCTTCTGTGGGAGGGGGAGGATGCGTACCCAAATCCCAAACTGAAAGCAAACCACCATACTCCACAGTGAACCATCTAGGTGGTCCAAGTTCAAACATGGGTTCTAGTTCTAACCTGGAAACCAAAGCAGTAGGATTGTTTTTAGTCACAAACATTAAGCCTGTTTTTTTTTTTTGGTCCATTGATCTGTATATACTACTTTAAAAATGACATCTTTATACTGTACATAATCTGCCAAAACTTTTGAGTATTTGAGGCTTGCAGCCATGTCAATTTGTCAAGGGATATAAATACTATCAAAAAGCTAATTTGATTCAAAGATGTTATGCTTATTTCTGACCCAACCCTAAGTTTATTTTTACTTGGCATGTCAGTGGGCTATTAGACAAAACTAATCCTCTTGATTTTGTGTAATATTAATGGAGGGGTGGGGGCAGGATGTTTGAATCAATATTGTTTTCACATCAAGGAACCATTATCAGACAGAACAAAGTTCCCTTGTGATGAGCGGCCCTGTCTTGAGTGAAATTTGAATAATTCTGTGCAAGGAACAGGGAAGATAGGACAAGGCGATGGTCACATGCATTCCAATGAAGGGAAATGAGGCAGATGTGCAACACGGCTGAGGAAAATGTATAGAGGAAAACTATTCAAAACTGCTAAGCAGCCTCCTGTACCACATAAGTCCAGTAGTTCTAAGAAAATACAGATATGGTAGAAAAAGTAAGAAAATTTTCACCACAAAACCAATAGTTACTACTAACAGAAAGTTATACACAAAATATAGCTCTCGATACAGTGATCATACTTCCTTTCAGTCGACGGACTCGATACCTGGCGCGGCACCTGCGGACACAGCTGCTTTCTCCTTTGAGGCCCTGGGCATGGCCTCCAGGAGGCCTCCCGGGGCACCTGTAGAAGCAGTGTTCGGCTCCCTGGGGGCTACCAGGCCAGTGCAGGGCTGTGTCCCGGGCAGCGCTAGATGGTCACCTGCAGCTCTCCCCGAGACCTGCTCCTTCAAGACTTCCACCCTCTCGTTGAGCTCGTTCCTCTCGGTTTGAAGAGCCCGGCACAGCTTCTCTAACCGGTCCAGTTTGATTTGAAAGGCCTTGTACTCTTTATCACGGACAGTTTTCTAAAAGGAAAAAAGATGATTTACGTAACCTTGCTGAATACAAATCAGTTTATAGGATACAAATTAACCTGAGCCATATTAGAAACTACTCGTTTAATCGCCTCTCAACCACATTGTTTCCTCACACACCACCTGACCACGTAATTAGCTTCGCTGCATACCTATCCACGGGTACCAGGTGATACTTACCGGTTCCTACCATTCTGGGGTGACAAAAATAAGCAAAATCCACTTTTAAAAACATTTTGTATTGATCAACTATTCAGAAAAAAGATACTCATCACAAAGCTAAAGATCAAAAAATTAAGGGCCTGATTAAACACAGAAAAGGATTCTTTTCTACATAGATTTCTCTTGTTCTACCAATCTTTAGGTGAGAACAAGATTCAAGGTGTGAAATTTAGTGTTTGCAGAGGATACATTTCAGCTGGCAAAAAAAAAAAAATTTTTTTTTTCTCCTTTGCTGCCTTTTTTGAAGACTCAGTCAAAGCAAAAAGAAAGGCACCAGAATTGTTCTCCGCCCTCCTGCCCTGAGCAATGTGCTCAGCATTTCTGGAGATGGGCCGTGTGGCGGTGACATCAGCCCCACCTGGATACTTGGCCGAAAGATTCTGCAACCCCACCCCAGAACTAGTCGAGCCAACTTTAGGTGGAACCTAGCCATCTTGGTCTTAACAAGCTCAAGTTTGACGCAAGCCCCAGTCAGAGAAATCACTGCTATAGAAGCAAGCAAAATCGCGATGCTTTATAGCGATCTCCAGCATAAGCCTGGTCTAATCAACTGCACGGTAGGAAATGTACCTCCCTCAGGGTCCCCCACCTGCAAGCCCAAAAGACATCTGCAGATTCTACGGCGCCATCCCCCTACCCTCGGCTCTATAGCCAGAGCCCTCAACTATGGCAATGGTGTCGCCACACGCCCCCTGCCCTGTTAGGTGCAAGAGCTTCATGAGCCCCCATGATGACAAACACACCTTAATCATGGGAAACCACCTCACCTCTTCAGCCATTTGCAGAAGTGCTTTGTTGTTGTTTTCCCATTTGGTACGCCATATTATGGTTTCTTTTTCCAGTTTTTTAATTTTCTTTGTCATCTGTCAATCAACACAGTTGCAAATGTAAATTCTCAGTTCCATTTCTCTCTACACCCTGTCCCACCACAAGAAGGTCTGCTCCACCCCAGCCCCGTCGTTTCCCCAGCCTTGCGCAGCAGACCGCTGTGCCTGTGCATCGGCAGCAGAGCTGATCTCAGGGGCTCCTACAGTGGCAGCAGCAGGAACCGAAGTAGGGGTTTCAAATTATGAGAAAAACAAACCTAATCTCCTCAATTTCAGAGGCAGCAGCACATGGAGGAAGCGGTCAGACAGCACACTGTGAACTCTAACTTAGGCTGGAGTGCGTCTTTCATTCCAGCTGGGGTTAACAAGGAGACCTCCCCGGGCTGTACAAAAACATGTCCAGGTTAGGGGTTTTCTAAATTCATTAAACTAATTTGGTTCTTGGAAGGATAGGGGTTTCCAGCTCCCCCCAAAGATTCAGAATTGCTGATCTACCACAACCTCCAAGACCACATCAATCTCAGAACTATAGGGGCGCCTGGGTGGCTCAGTCGTTTGAGCGTCTGCCTTCGGCTTGGGTCATGGTCCCGGGGTCCTGGGATCGAGCCCCGCGCATCGGGCTTCGCATCGGGCTCCCTGCTCGGCGGGAAGCCTGCTTCTCCCTCTCCCGCTCCCCCTGCTTGTGTTCCCTCTCTCGCTGTGTCTCTCTGTCAAATAAAGAAAGAAAATCTTAAAAAAAAAAATTTTTTTTTGGCAGTGTCCCTTTGGGAACATTCCCGTGACCAAGAAAAAGATAGTAGTAGTTTTATCCTTAGCTTTGGGCATCCCCACAACTCACTTCTCTCTTTAGCAAAACCGAAAGAAAATGGGCCCCCAAATGAGGGTAACATTCTTAAACCTATACTGAAAGAACCCAGTTTTCAGAAATTCACCATGAGACTTCTGTGTGCCTGTCACTGAGCCCGCTTTCAAGATTCCTCCATGCACTGTTGACTGTGCCCAGCTCTGATCCCAGGTGGGGCACCGAGCCACGTGCTGTCAGGGACGACAAGGCTACGGCAGCGCCGATGCCCTGTGCTGGGGGTAATCACCCACAAAACTGCAGCACAAGGCACAGTGTGACAAAGGCCACGGGAGGAGCTCATGGAAGATCTGGCTTGAGTGCTGACCGACAGTGATCTCTAAGCCACGAGCAGCGAAGGACAGCGACCGCAGAGCCCGTCTTAAACTCTGTTCAGGCTCAACAGTGCGCGGGGACGCCGCAGGCTGGCGAAGGCGCCCGCCGGGTACAAGAGCGCCCTCAACCGCAGCTTCCGCTGAAAGCACTGGCACGCGGAACTAATCCACTACTCACCAAATTCTCCAGGTTACCGGGTCTAAAAATACCTGAAGGTGGTAATGTGAGCACTTAACATGGCCAAGCGCTGTCTGAAATACTCCACTTTAGGGAGGATATTTTTGTTATTTTTAAAGAGGAAGACCCAGAAAGGTTAAGCAACTTGTGCCCAGTCACACATTATATGATGCAACTGGGACATTACCCAGAGCACACACTCCCAGCCACTATTTAAGATCTAGTTATAGTCACAACTAACATCTACTGAATGCTTACAAAGTGCCAGGCACCGCTCTACTTCTCCCCAACCCACCACCATCTTCCAAAAGCCCCATTTTAAGGGGAATATGCCACATAAAGTAAGGACGGATGGATGGACGGATAGATACATATGTATATATTCTGGTTCTCAGCTTGGTATCAAGGATATCGCTTTCCTTAACATAGGCAGGAAAATTAAAAAGAAGCCAAAGAAAGAATGGGTTTGGTTGAAGGAGAAAGAATTCAGTGGGAGGATAGTTAAAAAAAAAAAAAAAAAAAAAAAAAGCTAAAAAGGTAGAAACACTGGGGCACCTGGCCGGCTCAGTCGGTGGAGCGTGCAACTCTTGATCTCAGGGTTGTGAGTTCGAGCCCCATGTTGGGTGTGGAGATTACTTTAAAAAAAAAAAAAAAAAAAAGGTGGAAACACGGACATATTTTGATTACATATAAATAAAAATACATACATAAATGTGTGTGTATGTGTGTGTGTATGTTTATATAAAATCAACCAACCAAAACGTGTAATTACTGCTCTGGGCTTGGATGTCTTTAAATAATCTCCAAAAACACAGCTTTGTGAAGGAGGGGTAGGGTGTCACCTGGGTGAATAAAACAAAAGACACAACAAAAAAGAAACCACTTTATGTGTAACAACAAATTGTATTTAATAGAGGAATTCACTTTAATAAAGCTAGTATTTAAAATGAGCAAAGACACCACTAGCTACATGGACCACACCATGGGCAAAATGACCAAATGAGACACCACTGGAGGATCAGAAAAGAGGAAATGAAGACTGTACCGTAAGAACATCAACTCATCCAGGTCGTGATCGTGCTTAAAACAGCTTCTTATATAAATTCCCTTTTAGGTCATATTCTACTTAAATATGCAAATACCTTTTCCATTTCCTGCCGGAAGGTTGTAAACAGTTCGTTGCTTTTTGCCATGGTAGTCTGGAATTCTTCAAACTTATCCATATAAAGAGAAAGCTACAGAAAAAAGTATGAAATATTCTGAGTTCCTGGTAAACGATTTAAAACAATTCCAAAAGACTTTCTAAAAGGACATAATACAGTTACACGTTAGTTACTTGTTACAAGTGACAGAAATAAGAACATACACCCAGCCCTTGGCTACCACACAGAGACAGCTGAAGTTCTATAACCCACGGAAATTCACGGAAACTTAGGAAATTTTGTTGACTTAAACATCCTTAGATGTAAATGTTTAAAATGCACAAATATTTACTAGCTCCGATCCACCAATTTCCTCTCCTCGTATTTGAAAATTGTCCATGCAAAAAGAGCATTCTTTTAAAACACCACCTGCACAGTTCTTAGCTTGATATCAAGGATAGCCCTTGCCTTAACATAGGCAGGAAAACAAAACAGAAGATGAAGCATTGGCTTGGGGGGGGTGGGCAGAGAATTCAGTGGGATGGGGTCTTTTGACTGCTTTGATTTTAATTGATTTGGGTGTTGGGGACCATGGCTCTAAAGTACACTTCAAATACTATAAATTATCCTGCTTGTAATAACCATAATATCCCTGGTGCACTGTAGAATATCTAAAGTTTTAAATGCATGTTCACAGCTGCTTTTCTTGAAGATGGAACATCCAGGTAGACTGTCCCATCGGAAAGCTCAATGCTGGCCCACTCTGGGTAGTTCGTAAGTGGCAACTACCCTCACACCTGGACTTACATGCCTGCATTACAGAACAGGTCAACCGACACCAATTCGACTCTATCCTCAACAAATGCTAGAAATTAACATGGTAAGAGCATGGAATGAGACCAACTCTTGGCAAGGACAGCCACATTTAGGGACTAGGAAAAGGAAGATGGGACAGCAAAGGCAACAAACTAATGATCAGATAACACGACCCAGGGTGACACAGATCGCTGACAACAGAAGTTTCACCGGTAACAGTCCAACAGCATCAGAGCTGCCTGGGAGCTTCACAGAAGGGTCCTCCGGTGCTCTGCACTAGAGACTTGGCAAGAACTCCCACATTAAAGTCTATCTTCCAAAGCCGTATATAAATAGACTTTACATACATTTTCCACATCAACACTCTTCTCCATTTATATGGACAACTGAGTTTACAGAGCTAATAAGGGGTTCAAATTTCCTAGAAGCAATCTAGCACAATCCTAGGTTACAGTGCAAAGTTCAAAAACTTTTTGAATTTCCAAAGTTAGGCTACTTTTCTAGGAATTGAGCATCACATCGCAAAACATGCCCAAAGACAAAAATAGCATTCAAAAGAGGGGCTCATAAAGATTCAGACTAGTCTCAGTGTGTCAGTGCATTTTAGAACTAATTTAGAGACCTTACATTAAATATAAATATATTATTTAATAAACTTTTAAAATGAATACTTTTTTCAACAGAATGTAATCTAGTTACTTGGAAAAGGGTGGACTATAGGTAAACGCCTAATTTCACCTGTCCATAAAGACATGGATGGAAACTCTTTTCTGTACCTTTCCTTTGAGTGAGGAGGCAGCATCTGCTACCCTTACGCCACATTAAGACAAATACAGGAAAGACTGCATTAGGACAAACTTAAGGGGTTTGGTTGAAAAATAGGGAAGCAACTAAGAAAAGCCTAGGCCCAGATGGTCTCATAGGTGAATTCCACCAAACATTTAAAGAAGAATGAATGTCAATTCTTCCTAAACTCTTCCAGAAAATTGAAGAGAAGGGACACTCCCCAACTTATTTTATATAAGATCAGCCTTTACCCTGATATCAAAGCCAGATAAGGATACTACAGGAAAACTACAGGCCAACATCCCTGATGAATATAGCTGCAAAAATTCTCAACTAAATACTAGTACACCAAATTCAATAGCACATTAAAAAGATCACAGACCATGACCAAATGGGATTCATCCCTGTGATGATGCAAGGATGGCTCAACATACACAAATCAATAAATGTGACACTCCACATTGATAGAATAAAGGAGAAAAATAATATGATCATCTCAAGTGCAGAAAAAGCATTTGACAAAATACAACATCTATTCATGATATAAACACTCAACAAATTGGGTATAGAAGGAACACACTTCAATGTAATAAAGGCCATACATGACAGACCCACAGCTAACATCGTACTCAACTGTGAAAGGTTTAAAGCTTTCCTTCTACGATCAGAACAAGACAAGGATGCCCACCCTCACCACTTTTACCTAACCCAGTGCTTGAATTCCTAGCCAGAGCAATTAGGCAAGAAAAATTAAAGGCATCCAAATCAGAAAGGAAAAAGTAAAACTATATCTGTTTGCTGATGACATGATCTTATATATAGAAAATTTCAAACTTTTAACCATACTACACAGCTAAAGCAATCAAAACAGTATGCTACCAGCATAAAATCAGAGACACAAGGGAACAGAGTTGAGAGCCCAGAAATAAACTCATACAATATGGTCAACTAATATTTGACAAGGAAGCCAAGAATACTCAATGGGGAAAGGACAGTCTCTTCAATAAATGGTGCTGGGAAAACTGGACCCCTCTCTTAACACTATTCACAAAAATTAAAGACTTAATCATAAGACCTGAAACCATAAAACTCCTGGAAGAAAACACAGATAAAACACTCTTTGAAAGCAGTCTTGGAAATTTTGGTTATGATACCAAAAGCACCAGCAACACAAGCAAAAATCAACAAGTGGGACTACACTGAACTAAAAAGCTTCTGCACAGCAAAAGAAACAACAAAATGAAAAGGCAACTATGGAATGGGTAAAAATATCTGCAAACCATGTACCTGATAAGGGGTTAATATACAACATATATAAGGAATTCATACAATTCAAGAGGAAAAAAAATATATAATCCAATTTAAAAATGGACAGAAGACTTGAACTGACATTTTTCCAAAGAAGACATACAGTCAACAGGAACATGAAAAGGTGCTCGACACCACTACTCCTCAGGGACATGCAAATCAAAACCACAATGAGATGTCATCTCACACCTGTTAGGATGGCTATTATAAAAAAGACAAGAGATGACAAATGTTGGCAAGAGTGTGGAGAAAAGGGAAATATTGTGCACTGCTGGTGGGAAGGGAAATCGGCAGTTACCATGAAAACCAATATGGAGGTTTCTCAAAATTAGTAAGAGAACTAGCATGTGATCTAGGAATCCTACTTCTGGGTATAAACCTCTTGAAGAAGATGAAATCACTATCTAAAAGAGATATATATGCACTCCTGTGTTCACTGCAGCATTATTCAAAATAGCCAAGATATGGAAACAGCCTAAGTGCCTACTAACAGATGAATGGATAAAGAAAATGTGGTATAAATACACAAGGCAGTATTATTGAGCCATTAAAAAAAAAAAAGTAATCTTGCCATTTGTGATAATATGGATGGACCTTTAGGGCATTATGCTAAGTGAAATAAGCCAGACAGAGAAAAGACAGTGTATGATCTCACTTACATATGGAATCTAAAAAAGTCAAACTCCTAGAAATAGAAAGTGGAATGGTGGTTATCCGGGGATGGACGGGAGGGGGAAATACAAAGATGATGGTCAAAGGGTACCAATTTTCAGTTATAAGATGAATACGTTTGGAGGATCTAATGTACAGCATGGTGACCATACTTAACAATCATGTATCATATACTTAAAAAGAGAAGAAAAAGTAGGGAAGGCCCCCATTAAAATCACCATCTCCATGGCTCTGAGAGTAGAGTGGTTAATAGGCAATTTCTAAAATGGGTTATGTGCTCACAGCACAAAACTCTGAAGATTTTAGGTTCAAATATGAAACTGCCGTTTTTTTAAGTCAAAAACGTATCAGCAATTTCATGTAACTCAACTTAATACAAAAGAGCTCCAATCTGCAAACTTCTCAGTTTTTCTTCAGTTGGAAATTAGCAGACACATGTGGAAAAAGACTGAGAAAGGGAGGGAATACCTGGGATATTGGAAAGGGGACACTGCAGAAAGCATCACCAACTGTCCCAGTCGGCCTGAGACCTAAGTGTTTCCTGGGACACGGGACTCAGTGCTAAAACCAGGAAAAGTCCTGGGCAAATCAGGATGAGCTGGTCACCCTAAACAAGAGGAAAACTCCAAGAGGGACCCGTGATCTACTCTCAGCTCTGGCTGGGAACAAGCACAAGCATCTTAGAGAAGATTCAAGGTATATATCAAATGAACCATATATTTTTTTTTTAAACAAATGCTACTATCCCCTCCTGTCAAGTTACCTGCTGTTTTAGTTGTACTTCTTGCTGTTTCATTTGTTCATATTTGTGCCTCGATTCTGTTGCTTCTTTTAATAACTAGAAAACAGAAACATTCTGGCAAAATACTAATAGTAATTACAAATATGACTATAATGTCAAATGACCAGAGAGACAGTTAGGCTTAATCCTTCCACTCATTATTTTAGCAAGAACTGTAAGTCTATAGATAAAATTTTCGGTTACATCAATTGCTCATTACCTATTATCTTCAATCTGTTCTACTTGTTAACACTCAGGAATGTTGGAACAATCTTTTACTGCTTAGAAAGAGTAACCTGGAGGCCTAGTAATAGGTTTACAAAACTCAGGGTTAAATTGTTATGTTTCAGGTGAAAATAATTAGAAGTTTGGTATTAGCTGAAAACATGACTAGGAATCTTGACATTATCTAGGTGACTTAGAAAGCCACTTTACTCCTTGAGAGTCAAGATGAGGCAGAGTGAAAGGGTATGAAGCAAAGCAATGAAATTAGAGACCAGCTTCCGATCACTTCTTAAAAAGCAGGGCAGAAGTGGATGAGAGCTTTATATACTTGGGTTTTCAAGAAAATTATATAGTGAAATTGCATAGTAACAGACTGTTGAAATTCAGCCCCTGAAGTAAAAGGTCACACGTAGTCCAAATAAGCCCTAAAAAGTCATTAAAACAACTACAAAGTATATACGTGCAATGTATGTATATGTGTGTGAATATATGAAATTTATACCCCCACTTTGCAAAGAACAACCGTTTCTTCAATTACACACAGAATAGCATTATCAGTTCACACAGAAGATGGTGCTGTATGAAAAACAGGTCTCTCTTAAGCCTAGACTCACACTCAACATGGTAAGTTCACATCATGAAGGCCACTCACAGAGTCTTCATACCCGGTTTGCCTCAAGGCCTATGCTACTTGAGTGAAAGCTGGATGAACAGTCCTCATTGCCATAATCATTTCTCACTTTTTGGGGGCGGTGGGTCAAGCACATAAACTTGAATTTGCATATGTTAAATATACATACCCAATGAGATTCCACTGTATTCACAATTACTGACAGGCAATATAGTCTGAACATACACTCTGGGAATGATGCTGAGTGATTAGGTACAGAGAATTCTGTTAAAGTTTTATCAGAAAATTATACCAGAGTAAGGAGACAAATAGTTTCCCTAGTTGCAAGTTACTTGTCTGTAAACAAAGTATCACAGTATATAGGAGACCGGTGTTTGGTAAGCTCGATATTAAATTGAGCTGCCAAATTTAATGTGCTAAATACTGGTATAATTCTTGAACTTGGTGACCATTACCAAAGAAGTGAAATAATTATAAGCATGAAAAAGTCAAATGAGTGCAGGTCTTTCCACTAATTTGGTCTAATCTCTCCAGTGGTCTTCTGTATAAAAAAAGTTAAACAGAAATAAAAAGCCAAATACTTTCTAACATACACATGCCCTTCTCAATCTAGAACAAAAAACCAATTAGCATGACCCAGGAGCTCTATTAATGTAGAATAAGTTTAAGTATTTTAAATGGCTTTGGTTACAATTTTGACAATAAATTTCTTTTTTTAAGAGAACTTACAAACTCTCTCTCTCTTTGATGTTTTTCATCAGCTTCTTTTATTAGCTGTGTCGTCTGCTGAAGCTTGGCATCCACAAGCTGTTGTTGTAATTCCTTATGTTTGAACACTTTATCAATATGCTATGGGAGAAGTAAAATTTCTTACATCACTTAATGAAAAAGGAACACAATGATAAGGAAACACAAGTTACAATACCTTGCTTATTCTTAACCCTGCTTTTCCTGCTAATACCACCATAGCTGAAGACACTGGGTCAACGAGTTTGTAGAAGTGTGAGCTTTACATCACCTTGCAAGCCCTCCTGCACTTGCAGGAAAGGAGCCTTCCCGCTACTACCCTGTACCCCCTCCCTTTTGGAGGTGGGCTGTCAAGGAGCCTCATTAACCACACATTTGTACTTCCTATTTCTGCCCTACAACGAAAATGAGGCTCAAAGTGTATCAAGAAAAAGATGGATAAGGAGATCAAACTGTTAAACCCGTACATCAAACACATTAATTCCTGGATATTTTTCTCCCCTTTAAATTTCCCCAAATTTCTCAGTTGGAAGCAGCATGCAGTGACAACTGGAGTGGCCCCAGGTCAAATCCTGGCTGGCGTGTGGCCCAGGGCAGGTTTTCCCTTGCTGATTCTCACTTCCCTCCTCCGAGCACAGATAACCACATTCGCTGCACAGCTCTAAATGCCAAAGTGGTGGTTCTGCTGTGTAAGGTGCCTGGTACCCAGCACATATTAGACATTCGCTAAAATGTCATTATGATTTCCAAACGAAATTGTTAAGTGGTTATTTATCCACAATAAAGTCATCAGAACATCTCTTCTCAGCTGTACAAAGAGTAACTCTTCCTGACCAAAGAACACTTGATAACGTTCAAAATAAGACGACTCACATGTAATGTGATTTAAACATATCTAATTTTCAAGTTTTCTCCATCATGTGGCAGACTGTCATATTAAACAAAACTAAAAGAACAATTTTAAGAAAATTGAGGGTTTTATAATCTAATACAAAATTTATTCTCTAGGATAAAAAAGTTCCTTCAATAAATACTCTAAGAAAAAAAAACAGTGAAGAGGAAATCTTCATGTTACAGATTTGAGACCGAACAACCAGTGAAACAGATGCACTTTACTTAGAGCTTGATTCAAATAGCTTTAAAAAAAAAAAAAAAAAAGGGCATGGGGGGACTACAGAAAATTGAACGACTCAATATTTAACATTAAGTAATTACTGTTAATTTTGTTAGGTGTGAAAATGATAGCATTGGTTGTGCTTAAAAAGGAATCCTTATCTTTTTGAGGTATACCCTCAAATATATATGAACAGAATGGAATAGGACACCTTGAAGTTGTATCAAAATAACCCAGGGCAAGCCGATGGGAATAAAGCTGAAACTATGGTTTCATCTGCTAAAACCAGATGACATATTCTCTCTCAAGTTTGTAATTCTCCATTTAAAAAAAGGGGGGGGGGCAGAAGGCAGAGAGAGTGATTAAGGGGCTCCTGGGTGGCTCAGTCGGTTGAGCGTTCGACTCGTGATTTTGGCTCAGGTCATGATCTCAGGGTCCTGACGTTGGGCTCCATGCTCACCATGAAGTCTGCTTGGGATTCTCTCCCTCCCTCTCCCTCTGCCCCTCCCCCCACCCCGCATGCACTCTCTCAAATAATAAACCATCTTTAAAAAAAAAATAAGTTTTTGAACGGCTGAATGTAGGACTCTAAGTATGATCTGAAATTTGCCTTCAAAACTAGATACAGTAACCCACAGAGGTGCCAATCTTTTTTTTTTTCCTTTAATCAGCTATTTTAACCTACTTGTGTAGGGTTCTAACACACATAAAAGCACATTTCCCTGACTTGAAAGGCAGGGGATGCACTGTTTAAAAAGCCTGAGGCCATCAGAAAGGATGACTACCTACCATTTGCATCGAAATGGGTAGAACTGGAGGGTATTATGCTAAGGGAAATAAGTCAAGCAGAGAAAGACAATTATATGGTTTCACTCATATGTGGAATATAAGGAATAGCGCAGAGGATCATAGGGAAAGGGAGGGAAAACTGAATGGGAAGAAATCAGAGGAAGACAAGCCATGAGAGACTCTGGACTCCGGGAAACAACCTGCGGGTTACAGAGGGAGGGGGGTGGGTATTAAGGAGGGCCCGTGTTGTGATGAGCACTGGGTGTTATATGCAACTGATGAACCACTGAACATTACATCAAAAACTAACAATGGCTAATTGAAAATAGAACTTTTTGGCATATAAACATGAAAGAAATTAATGTCATTTTCTTTGACAAAATAAAATAAAAAGGCTGATGCCTCTAATCTTGTCCATTTGGCCTCTAAAAATGAGGAACCTTAAAAAAAACAAACAAAAACAAAAAACAGGCCATCACCTATTTGCTTTTATTTTTTTTTAAAGATTTTATTTATTTATTTATTTGACAGAGCGAGACACAGCGAGAGAGGGAACACAAGCAGGGGGAGTGGGAGAGGGAGAAGCAGGCTCCCCACTGAGCAGGGAGCCCGATGTGGGGCTCGATCCCAGGACCCTGGGATCATGCCCTGAGTCGAAGGCAGACACTTAACAACTGAGCCACCCAGGCGCCCACCTATTTGCTTTTAATTGACACCTCTGAATTTCCTGACTAGATTGAAAAAGTCTTAATTGGAGGCCAATGACCAAGATCAGCAGGCATGGATCCTTCTGATAAACTTTTTACTTCAACGGGTATGAGAGTTTAGAAATAGGTTCTATTTTTTCCTCTCAAATAGTATAAAACCCTCATTAAAAGAAAAAATCTAAAACACAGGTATAACACAATGGTAATGTAGACTGTACAGGTTATCAGATGTCTGAATTAGAGCATATGTGGGCGCCAAATATTTATTATTAGTCCAGACAAGGGGAAAAATTTGTATGCTCCAAACGCAGTCGTGTAGTAGCACACACCCAGAAGACAAGCAGTACCCAATGCTTCCCCAAGAAGTTGCCTCACCCTACCCAAACCCATGGACTCCTCACCTATCTACGTGGTGGTCCCCAAGACTCCCATTCTCACAGTGGCTGAAGATTTCCTAAGAAAAACCCAACTGCCATTATGCAGATATAAAAGTTGTAAAACATCCTGTGATGGTAGTTTTACTCTGGTAGCGAATGGTGAAAAATTCTTGCCGATAATGAGAAGCTGTGTAAACCAATAAAATGGCTTTACCTCCTCTCTCAGCGCATACTGTTCGATGAGCTTCTTCAGCTTCTCGCCCAGTTCAATGTTTTCCTGGCGGAGCTTGGCATTGTGTATGTCATGTTGTTCCAGCTGTGCCTGGATTTCATTTAAAGTGACCTGGAAGTGGGCGGTAGCTTCTTTCCGTCTTTCTTCCTCCTCTCGTGCCTGCTGCATATTTTCTTCCTTATCATCCAAAATAATCTCTGTTAATGGTATAGACCTATACAGAAGATGCTCATAAAAGCTTCTGCTGCTCCGGGGGTTTATTTATTGCTTCTGAACTCTGATTCCCCTTCATTTGTGACGAGAAAGTGCTCATTTAATAAGCAAGCAGCTTTTCCTGAGCAGATAATGAGAGAGGCAAGCTGCCCTGCTGTAAAAGAGGCTACGTCCAATCTAAATCACCATACTGAAAATTAATTAATTAAACGGACTACCCTAAAGCTTCTCCACGTGGCCAGCTCCCTCCATTGTACGTTCCCCAACACTCTCCGGTTACACAGCGGCATCTTACATGAGCCTGACAAGAGAGACCCTTCTTGCAGCTTACTTTCTGGGTACACCTGACCTCCTAGAAGGCAAGGGACTACTTCCATCACTTGCCAAAGATACAAGTGTTAAAAGACTTTCACGTGTTTAAACGGCTATCCAGTCTAATCAAAATGTTGATTTTTCTCTAGGAAAAAAAATACCACCTACTTTAGTGAATAATTAAATCCAAGGGTTCAAAAGCAAAGAAAAAACTAACAGCTCCCAGAGTAGGTGAAGATCCATTTCCGAGTGTTCCTGGATTCTAGGACCTTGGGCATCTGCTGTGCTGGGGCAGTTTGATGAGAGATCCTGCTCAGTCAAAATCATACCAACACTGTACATGAGGACAGGCCCACCTCCACGTCTCTGGCTCCTTCTCCTTCTTCCCCTGCTGGCACCAGCTCATCTTTGGGTACCTGCTCCCTCTTTTTTCAGCCATGGCTTAAGTGCTGTTCTGAAAGTACTTAGCCACTGGGTACTGGGGGGTAGGCAAGGGTGGTCTGGCAATGCAGCTGGTGAACAGCCCCTACAGAGCTCAGCAGATGTTTCCCTCCCCAGACTCAGTCTCTGCCTCAAGTCTGTTTCTACTCGGCTCCTCATTCACGTCAGCTTTTCCTACGTGGTAATTAACTAGCTCAGTGCTCAGCAGAAAATTGGCAACTTTGAGTTTCCTAAGCCAGGGCTCCAGGCAGGTAAGCTGTGGTCTAAACACCAATCTCAATTCGATTCCCCATGATCATGTATGAGGTTCATTAAGAACCATCAGGCCAAGCAAAACAGTAGAAAAGTGGTTGCTGTCTCCATGTAGAGATAAAAGATTTACTTCAAATAGGTACACAGTGATTATAAAACAAGCTAAGTCAGTGTCAGTCCCTCCTGAAAAACAGAAAAGCGAACCAACTAACCTTTAATGTCTTATTGTGACGCTGAAGTTCCCTGCAAAGAGACTCTAGTTTGCTTCTTGCCAAGATAGCCTTGCTGTGTTCACTCTGCAAGTGAACTTTCTCTTTCACAATTTGGGCTTGTTTCTTCTGCAGAATCTTCATTTGCTTCTGAACATTCCTGCTCTCCTCCAGCTAAAATTAATAAGCACTTTACAATCAGGAAGTACAATGAAAACCTTTGAGTTATGGCTGGAGAAATTACACTAAGAACTATGGAACACATTTTCAAAAACCAAATATTATAGTCTATTTTTTTTTAATTATTTCGTGCCATATTACTCTGCCAACCTTCTCTCTCTTCCAGTTGTGATAGGAAAGTAAGCAAATAATTAAGGGTAGGGGAAAAAACAATCTTAATCCATTTTTTTTTTTAGGTAAACCCTACCCCCAAAGTGGGGCTCAAACTCACAACCCTGAGATCAAGACTCACATGCTCTATCGACTGAGCCAGCCAAGCACCCCTTAATCTTTTATTAAAAATTTTGAAAAACGCTGTTTTTGGAAAAACTTTAGAGACCAACACAATCGAGTTTTACTTTTCTGAAAAAACACACACAGGCCACTCTACTGAAATGGTCCTCCAAATTAGAATAAGCAGCACTGGGCGCCTGGGTGGCTCAGTCAGTCAAGCATCCGACTCCAGATTCCGGCTCAGGTCATGACCTCAGGGTTGTGACACTGAGCCCCGCACCAGGCTCTATGCTGGGTGTAGAACCTGCTTAAGATTCTCTCTCTCCCTCTCCCTCTGCCCACACTCTCCTCAGCTCGGGCACATGCACACGCTTCTCTCTTAAAAAAAAAAAAAAAGAATAAGCAGCACTCAGGGTTCTTTGTGAGAAAGAGGAATTGCTGCAATTTTAGGTTTGGAGCATATAAATATATTTCAAGGTTAAATCAACACTAACAGATTAAGACTTACTGAGTTTCACAGAAAGCAAGGATGCTGAGTCAATTTCAGGAGCAAGAGTGACACCTTGTGGCCTATCAAAACACACCCAGCATCTTTACATGCCATATGCTTACAGCTATTAGAAACATCCTTACAGAAAGTCCTGCGGAAAAAATAGTTTTTTGTTTACTACTTTTGCAAAGTAATCTTAGATGACTGTGGGTACAGCACAGCTGCAAGAGGCTTCCAGTCTGTACATACTATCTGTAACTCCACTGAGAGCGGCAACCCCCCTGCCCTCTCGGACTCAAGGTAATCACAATCCTGAATCCCAGGCTCACAATTCCTTTGCTCTTCTATCTCATTTGTGTGTGGTCCTAAAAGAATCGTTCTGGTTTCAGTTATTTTGACTCTGTTGTGGCTAGTGCAACTGAAGAACTGAATTTTTTCTTGAATTTAAATTGAGCTTAAATAGCCGCATGTAGCTCATGGCTACCATTTTGGACAGCACAGCTGTAGACTGTATTGCTAGAACTCATCCAAATCATTTGCACAGATCAGGGAACAGCAAACTTTTTCTGTAAAGGACCAAAAAGTAAGTGTTTTAGGCTTTGCAAGCCACATACTCTGTCTGTTGCATCGTTGTCTTTTTTTTTTTTAAAACACTTTAAAAATGTAAAACCATTCTTAGCTTGTGGGCAGTACAAAAACAGGCCTCGCCAGATTTGGCCCACTGGTTATATGATATCTCACTTAAAAAATATACCACACACAACATACTTTACTGATCCATTCTCAAGTCAATGGGCATTTGGGTTGTTTCCAGACTTGATTACTTAGAATGATATGAACAATGTCTTATGCGTTTCCTGCTATACACATGCAAGAATTTCTCTGGGTGCAAACCTAAGCGTGGGACTGCTAGGCAGTGATTAATGTTCTATTTCACATGACAATGCCAAACTCTTTTCCAGAGTGGCTGACAAATTTATTCTCCCATCAGCGACTTATAAGAGATCATGTAGATAGATGTACATCCTCTCCAAAACTAAGTACAATCAGAATTTTTTTTTTATTTATTATTTGAGAGAGAGAGAGAACGAGAGAGAGAGCACATGAGAGGGGGGAGGGTCAAGGGAGAAGCAGACTCCCCGCCGAGCAGGGAGCCCGATGCGGGACTCGATTCAGGGACTCCAGGATCATGACCTGAGCCGAAGGCAGTCGCTTAACCAACTGAGCCACCCAGGCGCCCTACAATCAGAATTCTTAATTCATGCCCCTACAATGGACATAAAATGGCATCTCCTTCTGGTCCAGATTTGCATTTTCCTGATCACTAATAAAGTCACACATCTCTTTATATGTTTATGTACCTTTACGTTAAGGTATTTTTGTATCTTCATGTTTTTCCACTTCTATAAAATGCCTCTTACATGTCTCTTGCCCATTTTTCCGTTGGGTTATTTGTTCTTTTCATATTCATTTGTAGGTGTTCCTTACATATTCTTGAAACTAAATATTCTGTTGGTTGTATCTGTTGGAATATGTTCTTCAGGTTTTTTTTTTTAATTTTTTTTCTTTTTTAAGAGTTTATTTATTTATTTGACAGAGACAGAGCAAGAGAGGGAACACAAGCAGGGGGAGTGGGAGAGGGAGAAGAAGGCTTCCCACTGAGCAGGGAGCCCGATGCGGGGCTCGATCCCAGGACCTGGGACCATGACCCGAGCCGAAGGCAGACACTCAATTGAGCCACCCAGGCGCCCCTTCTTCCCAGTTTTTTAATGTGACTTCTCACTGTCTCTTGAAGTGTCTTTTGCTGAACAGAAAGTTAATTTCAACACAGCCCATTTTTGCAATCCTTTATCTGATAGTGCTTTTTGTGTTGCAAGAATTCCTTCCCTTGTAACGCCTGGGTGGCTCAGTCAGTTAAGCGTCTGCTCAGCTCGGGTCACGATCCCAGGGTTCTGGGATCGAGTCCCACATCGGGCTCCCTGCTCAGTAAGGAGCCTGCTTCTCCCTCTCCCCTCTGCTTACTTGTGTTCTGTCAAATAAATAAAATCTTAAAAAAAAAAAAAGAAAAAAGAAAAAAGAAAAAGAAATCCTTCC